ATTTGGGATTTCCTTCGATGCTTCCTTTCATTCAATCTGATGAGCCCGATGTTAGCAAGTTTGCGCCTTCGCTTGTTCAGCTTGCTAGTGTTTGTCTTCAGATTACCCTGAGCAAACTCTGGACGTCTTGGGGAATTACCCCGACTGCTGTTGTGGGACACAGCCTTGGAGAGTATGCTGCTCTTAACGTTGCTGGTGTTCTGTCGGACACTGATACACTATTCCTTGTTGGTGGCCGAGCGCAGTTACTTGAGCAGAAGTGCACTCGCGGTACCCACGCCATGCTTGTGGTGAAGGGATCCCAGGAGGAGATTGCTGAGGCACTCAAAAGCCAAGAGTACGAGACTGCTTGTATCAACTCTCCCATCGAGACTGTTCTTGCTGGTCCGAATGAGCAGATCGCCAAGGTCAGGGAGCAGCTTGCGGCGGCTAGCTTCAAGACCACTCTTCTCAAGGTCCCTTACGCTTTCCACTCATCTCAGTTGGAGCCAATGGTGTCCGATATCGAGAAGCTCGCCAGCAAAGTGGCCTTCTCCAATCCCAGGATCCCTGTACTGTGTCCCTTGGAAGGTACTGTCATCGAGAACGCGACTCCTTTCAATGCCTCATATCTCGCCCGACACTCTAGACAACCAGTCAACATGCTCACCGCGCTGACTACCGCTTACCGCGACGGGTATCTCAGCGATCGCTCAATGGTGCTTGAAGTTGGACCTCACCCAGCTGTCTCCGGCATGGTCAAGCCCACCCTCGGCCAACAGATCACATGCGTTGCCTCCCTCCAGCGTAGCCGAGCACCCTGGGATATGCTCTCCGCAGCCCTCAAGAGTCTCTACGATGCTGGAGCCAGCATCAATTGGGCCGATTACCAGAGCAACTTCCCTGGCGCACACACAGTCGTTGACCTTCCAGCTTATAGCTGGGATCTCAAGGAGTACTGGATCCAGTACGTTAATGACTGGTCGCTGCGAAAGGGCGATCCTCCTTTGGTCATCAACAATGTGTCGAAGATTGAGAGCACTACTATTCATAGTGTTGTTGAGGAGAGTGGCGATTCTAAGAAGACTCATATTGTCGTTGAGGCCGATATTGCTCGCAAGGATTTGAGTCCGCTCGTCCAAGGTCATGAGGTCGATGGGATCCCTCTCTGCACTCCATCTGTCTATGCTGATATCGCATTGACTCTTGGTAAGTATCTACTTGAGAGGTATCAACCACAGCAGAAGGACGATATGATTGTGGTCTCGGACATGACTGTCTCAAAGGCCTTGATCCTCCGTGGTGATGGATCTCGCCAGCCCATCCAGGCTCACGCTGAGGCAGACTGGTCATCTCAGTCCGCCTCAATCAAGTTCATGTCTTTCGATGTAAGCATCTCTTTCTCATTACACGTTAGTGCGTATACTGACAACCTTGTAGAATAAGGGCAACCTACAAGAACACTCCGCTTGTGTAGTCCGCTTCAAAGACCGAAGCCATCAAGACGCCCTCCAAAGCGAAGCCCGCACCACCAAGCAGAAGATGCAAAACCTCCGCAACCAAATCACCACCGGTGAAAGCGCACGCTTCAACCGCCCCATGGCATACCGCATGATCCGTCCCCTCGCACGCTTCCACGACGACTACCGCGCCATCGACGAAGTCGTCCTCAACAGCGAAACCCTCGAAGCTTCCAGCAAGATCAGCTTCGGCACCGTCAAGCGCGACGGCGACTTCCACACCCACCCCGCTGTCATCGACGCTCTTACTCAGTCTTGCGGCTTTGCTATGAACTGCAATGACCACACTGACATTGATGTCGATGTTTACATGAATCATGGCTGGGGATCGCTTGAGCTGTTTGAGCCGCTTGACTTTGAGAAGGAGTATACTACTTATACTCAGATGCACGCTGGAGAGGATAAGCTCTGGTATGGTGATGTGACGATCTTTGACCAGGATAGAGTTGTCGCGTTTTTTGGTCAGATCGCGATTCAAGGTGTTCCTCGAAGAGTCCTCAAGGTGATACTCTCAATTGAGAGTGGCAAGAAGGGCCAGCCTCAGCGCCAGACGCAAGACAAGCCCCGAAACACTCCCTCGCAGACTAAGGATTCTACCCTCAAGACAGGACAGAACAAGCCTGCAGCCAAGGTAGAGCCACCGAAGTTCTCTACCGCAATCCGCATCATCTCCGAGGAAAGCGGAATCGATGTCTCGGATTTCACCGACGGTACAACCTTCGCCGACGTCGGCATCGACTCCCTCCTCGGTCTCACCATCTCCGCCCGCTTCCAGGAAGAGCTCGACATTGATCTTGACTTCAACGCTCTCTTCTTCGAACATCCCACCGTCAAAGATCTGCGCGCCTTCCTCGGCGCAGACGAAGATGTCTCTGGAAGTTCATCCTCTGCGGCTAGTGACTCTGGTCGTGACACGACTACCACTGGAAGCGCTACGCCAGAACTCCAAGAGGAGTTTGCGGAATCAGCTGAGGTTGAGTTTGAGCGCGCTCTTGAGATTATCTCTAAGGAGAGTGGTGTTGCGAGATCTGACTTAGATGATGAGACGAACTTTGCGGACTGTGGTGTTGATTCTCTTCTGTCGCTTGTTATCGCGAGTCGGTTCCAGGATACTTTTGGTCTGGATATCGCGCATGAGCAGCTATTTATGGAGTGCCAGACGGTTGGTGATCTCAAGACAATGCTCGCGCGGGAAATGGGTTTGTCTACTACAGCTTCTAAACCCGCTGCTATTCCCGCACCTGTGGTCTCTGAAGCAGTCGCTCAAGAAACAGTCGTCACCCATAGCGACACTTCGAACCTTGCCGAACGCGAACAAGCAATCACTGAGCTTGTCAACAAGTACACCGCTGGATTCAAAGCGCCCACTTCAAACCCCAATGGTCCTCCTCTGGGCAAGAATGAAAGCGTGGTCCTCGTCACAGGCGCATCAGGCGGGTTGGGAAGCCACCTCGTCTACGCCCTCGCGCAACTCGAAGAAGTCCATACCGTCGTATGTCTCAACCGGCCGAACAGAGAAGACCCAACAACGCGCCAGTACAAGGCCATGAGAGACAAAGGCATCCGTTTCCCGGAGCATCTCAAGTCCAAGGTGCGAATCTTCCAAACTGATACCTCAAAGCCTAAGCTTGGAGTTGCGGATAGCGAATATGCATCTTTGATCCGGTCTGTTACGCACATCATCCACAACGCCTGGCCCATGAGTGCGAAGCGCCCTCTCTCGGGCTTTGAGTCGCAGTTCCAAGTCTTCCGCAATCTTCTTGATCTGGGAAGTGAGTGTGCTTCGAATCGTCCTGCAGACTTCAAGTTCAGCTTCCAGATGATTTCGTCAATTGGTGTTGTTGGACAGTGGGGACTGGCTGCTGGTCAGACTGGCAAGATTGTTGTTCCGGAGGAGAGGACTACGATTGACTCACTACTCGGTAACGGGTACGCTGAGGCGAAATGGGGTTGCGAGAGGATGCTTGATGAGACTCTCCACAAGTTCACAGATCGTTTCCGTCCCATGGTCGTGCGTCTCGGTCAGATCGCTGGGTCCAAGACGAGCGGCTACTGGAACCCAATGGAGCACTTTGGCTTCCTTATCAAGTCCTCCCAGACTCTGAATGCTCTTCCTGACGTCGACGGCAATCTCAACTGGACTCCAGTTAACGACATCGCCGACACTCTGACCGATCTCATCCTCTCCGACCGCACTCCCTACCCAATCTACCACATCGACAACCCCATCGGCCAACAATGGCGCGACGTCAACAACATCCTCTCCGACGCCCTTCGCATTCCCAACAAAGTCCCCTTCAAACAGTGGCTCGACATGGTGCGCAAAGCTCCTCAGCAGGACAACCCGGCTGCTCTGCTGGCAGACTTCCTTGAAGATACATACCTCCGCATGGCCTGTGGTGGTCTTGTTCTCGATGTGAAGCATTCGCTTGAGCACTCCAAGTCTTTGTCGGCGGTTGGACCTGTTTCGGAGACCGTGGTGAGGAAGTATATCCACATCTGGAAGGAGATTGGGTTCTTGAAGACCACGGCGGAGGACAAGGCTGGGTTTGAGGCGGAGAGGTTGAGGCTTTGGGGACCTAGAGTGTAGGCTTAATCGGTAGAGATACACTTTGAGATAGAGTTTCTTTTATGGTTAACCTAGATTGAACATTTTCTTTATATACTTATATAGACATTTAGCTTCTTGGTCAACCACAATCGTGTTCCTCTTCCGTGTTCAAGGCAAAAGCTTCATCATCATAAACTCCGATCAACTTATCCTTACTCTTCTCAACTGACCACAAGTTTCTCAAGATAACCTGTGATATACTGAGCCTTTCTCAAAATTCTCTTTTCTCATGATCGAAGTCTTGCGATCGACTACTTCTTGCGTGAACCCGGAGAGATAGCTCTACTCCTGCGAAGACAGGGACTAGGGGGGGAAAGAAACACAGGACCTCAATCCTAAATGACAAAAAGACTTAGGTAAAATAGTCTAAGTTTAGGATGACTTTTGTTGAGTTTATTTTGACACCCTACAGTAAGGTTCGCTGTTTTCTTGCCCCCCGAGGAGGGACAACAGGCCTTTACTGCACTGCAACCTTGGGAAATGAGATTTTCATCGTAGCTGCTCTTCGCAATATGAGGCCTTTTAGTAGTGATTACTATGGCGCTGGTACTGTAACCCGGCCGTGGTGTCCTTGATAGGGTTGGCGCCAAGCCATCAGGGTCTTTTCCTTGCAGATCAGGTCCCATCGTCTTTCTCTTATGCAACTGCCGTGCATATTCTATGGAACCTCATGGCCGGCTCCAACGCAGCGAGTCCAATGCAGCGATAGGATTTATTTTAGTTGCGAGATGGAGTATATGCCATCAGGGTAGATATGAACTGTCGCAGCTGTGCGATTCTCGAGGATGGACGAATACTTATTGCTCGATGGACTTGGCAGCTCATTCAAGCACCATCCGTTATCTCTCAACGTCTTCTGATACCCCAAAGGACATTTCAACCGCTAAAATATGGTTAAATTTAGCCATCAGTTTTGGAGCGCCTCGGTTCTCCTGCTGCCATGCTTGAGCAGCGTACATGGCAGTAGGTTACCACCAGAGGATCGCCAACAAACAGGGTCCTGTGTCGACAAGCCGCAGATGCAAGATTTTGACTCAATCGGAGCTTGGTTTGATGATGTCGCAACTCTCAACTGTACCTCCATCTCCAAAGCTCCCAATGCCTCCATCGCCATTGTGGGCGGTGGTGTTTCTGGGCTCACCACCGCTCTCATGCTGGATAGCATAGGTCTTCATAATTGGGAGATCGTTGAAGCCAGTGATAGAGTGGGTGGACGCTTCAGAACCAAGTTTGTCGGTGGTACACAGGAGTTTGCTGAGATGGGCCCGATGAGATTGCCGTATGCAGTTACGTACAAGAGTGATAACTCGACACATGAGTATACGGAGCATCGGTTGACATTCCAATTGGCAGAGACTCTCAACTCGATGAATGGGAATGACTCAAAGTGGAAAGTTGACTTTATCCCTTGGATTCAACACCATCCTAATGAGCTTATTGCTTGGGGAACCGGTCGACATCCCGATGGCAGCATCCCAACAAGAGCAGACATTCTGGCAAACTCAAGCCTCGCGAAACCACCAGCCATGGTATCAGCCGCTTACAACGAAACAAAGCACCGCATGAATGAGATCCTCAAAAACGAAACCATGCTCAAAGCAATCCAAGCCGACGTCTGGCGCTCGCACAAGCTCGTCATGGGCCAGGGCTACGACGACTGGAGCGAGCAATGCATGATGAGGGAAGCTTTCCACGCCAGTGAGAATGTAACCGATGCTATCTGGACTGCGACAGATTATGATGTCTTCTGGGATGAAATGGTGCACAACTCAAATCTCGCGTTAGATGGAACAAAAGACTCGCTGGGCGAGACGGAGTGGAAGTGCGTTGACGGAGGCTTCAATCGACTCACTGATGCTTTTATCCCTCACATTTCCGACCGGTTGGTTCTCAATCGCAAGATCAGAAAGCTCGAACCAGTCAAGAGCAAATATGGCCAAGCTCGAACAAGACTCTCATGGTACCCCAGCGTCAAGAACCGAACGTTTGAGTCCAAGGACTATGACTACACCATCATGGCCGTTCCCTTCACGATGACCCGCTTCATGGACCTCCCCTCATACTCATCCGTCCTCGGCCGCGCAATCAGCGAAGCAGGCCTACGCTTCAAATCCGCCTGCAAAGTCTCCCTCCTCTTCTCCGAACGTTTCTGGGAGAAGGGCGAGCGCCCTATCTTTGGGGGATACTCTATTCCTGAGAGTAGATCCGTCGGCGCCTTATACTATCCTGTGTACGGATTGAACGAGTCCCGACCTGGGCTGATTACACACTACCGTGGTGGAGATTGGAGTGATCGCTACGTCAGCTTCTCGGATGAAGAGCACGTCCAAACAGTCCTCGACGCAATCGTGAGTCTTCATGGTGAGCAAGCGCGAGAGCTTTACACAGGCGATTATGAGAGGTTGTGCTGGTTACAAGATGAACATACTGCGACCTCGTGGTGTCGTCCTGATGTTGAGCAGCATAATCTGTACATACCAGCGTATCACCAGACGGAGTATAATACTATCTTCATTGGAGAGCATACGGCTCCGACGCATGCTTGGATTAGTTCAGCTATATACTCGGCTGCTAGGGGTACTATTCAGCTGCTACTAGAGCTTGGGATGGTGGATGAGGCGAAGGAGATCAATCTACGGTGGATGGGGCCATGGATTAACCATGATACCAAACTATAACTGGGTTAAAGAATTTGTAACTTGAGTAAATACTCCGAATCCTAGACGGTAGCTTCTTTTAAGTAGAGTCAGTCATCTCAGTACACTGGCAGCTTGAGACATTGTTCAGCTACCTAATTAAGCCTTCCACGCTGGAAAACAAAGTCCTCCAGCTGCCGATACGCTTCATCGAGATCGCCGCTGACGATGATAATGTCGTACACTCCAGTCTCTGCAAACTCAAGCTCGAGCTTCGCTTGTGCCAAACGCTGCGAGATGCTCGCCTCATCTTCCGTTCCGCGCTCCCAGAGTCGGGCTTCGAGTGTCTCCAGACTCGGAGGGCTGACGAAGACATACCGAGCCACCAAGTCTGAAGTTTTCATCTGCTTTACGCCTTCCATCTCAATATCCAGGATGGGAGCCACACCTTTCTTCATCAGTTCATCCATGGCCTTCTTGCTCGTGCCATAAAAGTTGCCGCTGTAATAAGTGTGCTCGACGAACTGTTTCCGCATTATCATGTTCCAGATCTCGGGCGCGGAGCAGAAAAAGTAGGCCACTCCCTCGGCCTCATCAGGTCGCGGCTGGCGTGTTGTGTGTGAGACAACCGAGCCGAAGATGGTCGGGTGGTTGTCCTTCAGTCGCTTGATCAGTGTACCCTTGCTAACGCCAGAAGGGCCGGATATAATTATGGGACGAGCGTCGAGTAGCGCTAGAGTATGTTCAGCATGGTGATAGATAGTAGAAGGTTCAGGGCAACACGTACTTGTGCTCATGTGGTTTGTCAATGACCCGCAGCCAAAGGCATCCATGTCCTCGACAATATTGGAGGGTGTACACAGCTGAGAAGGGAAAATGGATTGTCTGGGGAGAATATGATGGAGATGAGTCGTTGAGAGGGTCACTGGATGGTTAAGAAGCGCAGTCCCATGTGAGTCTAAATGAAATGGCTCCCTGTATTGGTCTGTTAGATGTATAAAGTTGAGGGTTAACAGAACCTCAAGCCCTAGGACAAAGTCAAACACATCTCATCATATAGAGGTAGCAAACTTAAATGCTTTTACTGCTGCTGCCTGAGACGATAGTTTATCATGAGAAGTTTGTCAATTGCCAAAATACTACAGTTAAATGTTTCTAAATAACTCCTTTCATCGCTCCACCACGCTCATTGACCATGCTCATCTCGAACAGACATCCAACAGCCATATCGTGTCTAAAACGCCATAGCCTCTCTCCATGATCAAATTGTACTACCCACGGATGACTCCACGTCCAAACGCCATGCTAATAGTAATAACACAAGGCACATAACTGTCCAACGTAGCTCTGTCAATCAGTGCTCGCAAACTTGACACTCTTCCTCCTCTCCCTCTCCCCCGTCGCAACAGCCCTCCCAGGGCTCGAGCTAAGGATCCCTCCACTGCTCTTATTCAGCGCATCCCTCGCCATACCTACCGCTCTGCTCTGCGGTATGTCATTGCCATCACTCTTGACATATCGGTCCATACCTGCACGAGGACTTGATCGTCTACTGTTGCTTGCTCCACGCTCATCCCTTGCCCTCGTCTTCTCTACAGTCGCGCGACCAATCTCGTCAGACCGTGCTGTGCTAGTCTCGCCGCGGTATCGACCGGGTAGGCACGCGTGTCCACAGCCATCGAGGGGACAGCAGCCATCGCTGAAGGTAGTTGAGCCGCTAGAGTCTGGCTGATCGAGAACAGCGTGCCATGCTGTAAGACAGGAGGCATGACCACCGTGTGCACAGCCAGGACAGTACCACCATTGGGAGAGCCAAGTGTCTGGGGAGCCCATTGCAGTTGGCAGTTCCACGGGCGCGAATTCAGCATGTGTTGGCTCTCTATGGCCACAAACAGCGCAAGGCGCCATGATGGTGCGGCATCGCTCACAAGTCCAGATAGCTTCTGGCCCATCTTTGGGATCAAGCTCCCTAGGTTTCTTGCACGCAGAGCAAAGGAAGCTCACCTTTCCGTTCTGTTGCGCTGGTGTGAAGATTGCTGTATAGTTTTCGCCCCACTGAGGCAAACCTTCAGGCCATCCTTTGATGCACAAGTTCCGTAGAAGCGACGCTTCAATGAATAGACCCATTTGCATCAGTCTCGAATGGTGCTGTCGCAAGACTGCATTCGCCTGATGGTAGTCGATCACGAAGTCGGGTACTAAAGGCTTGAGAAGGAGCACGATGGCCGAAGCATTAACAGCAGAAGTTCGCGACTCGTAGTGCAAGGCCTCTGTGATAGAGGTGTAGGGATCAAGTGGTGAAACAATCGGACTTTCGCCAGAAACAGTAGTTGGGAACGGATATGAAGGATCATCATCCCACGGGAGAAAATCTGTCTCCACGATGTGAGGCCGTAGGTCTTTCTGCGCAGGAAATAGGTCCTTGGCTGGACTGCTGGATCGATTGGGATGACTTGCTGGAACAAGTACTTGCGGCTGCGGGGAGTCTCGCTTCGCTGGAAGTGACTCGGCGACAATCTTGGGGGGTGACGGTTCAGATTGCAGGGGCTCTGACGTTTGCGACGGGAACGAATCATCGGTTCCCATTGTAGTTTGAGATATTAAGAAAAGATCCTCTGGGGAGTCTGTCGGCGGCTTCTTACTATGTGGGCGTGACTTGGGCGAATCCGTCGGCGTATCTGCATGAACCTCTTCGCCGCGAATGTGGCTCGGGTACTCATTATCCTTCTCCATATCCGAGGCATGTCTCGCAAGACTCGATCGCCATGGTCCGGTGCCTCTCGGTGTCGAAGCCGAAGGTTTTTTTGTCGCATCAGATGTCGAAAACATCTGAGCAAAGCTCTCGTCCGAATCATGGCGCGTCACCCTCTGGACCTCTGGGATCGTAGAGTCCAACGATAGAGGCTCCTTCTTCTTAGGTGGAGGAACATCGAGGGCCTTGAGCAAGACCTCAGCGTCGTAAAAGTCGTATCCTTCGGTGCTAGATATCTGTGAGCTCTCGCTTTCATGGCTGACATCAGAGACGGGAACCGAGTCGAGCCGCTTTCGGGGGGTGTCTTCGAACCTGTCATTTATGCCAGGCCCAAGACGAAGTTCATCAGGCTCCATGACGGCTGCAAGTCTCTTGCCAACCTGTTGTGCATGCTCTTTCGAATTATCTGGAGCGTCAGCCGGTCGCGCAAGCGGAGTTGGGACGTTTGACGTGCTCTCGAAGCCCATCGCAAGAAGGGATCGAGTGCTTAGAGAGCGGCCGCCGAGCCCTGGCTTTCCAGAAAGACGTCTGGGCGTTTCGTCGCCGGGGGTTCGACTAGCAGTATAAAAGTCAACGGGCTTCAGCATTCCACTTCCCTTTCTCTCTTCTAGCTTCACCTTCTGGAAGCGTCCGAGACGGAGGTCGAGGTGGTATTGAGCGCGACGGTCGAGGAGTAGGCCGACCGTGTAAGCGAGAACGCGCCAAGTCTGTGCTAATCGGAAGTACGAAACGCTTTCGGCTGCGCGAGCATAATGTTCTAGGATGACGCCGACTCGTTCATTGAGCGGCTTTCCGTCTTTAACGTATGGGAGCTCCTGACGGAGCGTCTCGAGGTATAATCCTGAGAGATATTGGTAGATTTGTGTTGTTTTTACAGCAGGCAATCGACCGAAAGCCATTGTTTGCTGAGTCTTGAAGACCCCAGTAACATTGATGGCTTGGTCAAGCGCCAGGAACGGCTTGTTATCATCAGGTCCAGATCCAGAAGGTGGCGTCGTGCTCAGATTGGTGGAGCGTCCTGCTTTCCTTCGACTCGTCCGTCGCCTAGGACCAAGAAAACTGCCAATGACATCCTCCTCCGAGTCGCTGCGGCTGATGCTGAGCATGGGGGCATTGGGGCTCGATCCATAGGGGCCACGAGGCACTATCTCGGCATGGTGTGTGACTGGAGGTCGAGGTCGACTGCTCTGATGAGATCGCTCGTCAAGGAACATCATAACATCGCCTTTCGGTGAGAATGCCATAGAAGAGGTAGACTGGCGATCAATGACCTTGGGCGCATATGCGACGTCGTTTTGCGCAAACAGTCCGTCTTGGCCAACTGTCCAGAGCATGTCCTGGTCTTGCCAGAGCAGAGTAGCAGGTGAAGCGTCGAATCTCTCGATTTCTTTGTATGCCATGGTCGGTCGAGCCAAGTCCCAGATGTGTACTGCCGAAGTACCATATCGACGAGAGCTACTATCATCGTAGGACACTGCTATTTGAGCTACGCGTTTGTTCTGCGCTGTAGCAGACCACAGGCCAGGTCGCCATGCGATAGTCCAGATGGGCGCAGGTGTTGTTACAGACCATTTCGGCTTCTGTCGTTTATCGGCTGAACTCGAAAGATCCCACACATGGAGTTTCGTATCTCTACCGGCACTGATAAGGTGGTTTCCATCCGGATGCCATGCGATAGAGGCGCACGCCTTTTCGTGCGCATTGATCCTCAGCAATGGTCTTGATGGTTGGCGCACATCCCATTTCAGCACCACTCCGCCCTCAGTACAGCATGCCATCTCGTGTCCGACCTTTGGAGACCATTTAACTTGCCGAACCGAGTCGATACATTTGAGGGGCGCGAATCGTTGCCGAAAGGTGATGCCGCCCGATCGTCCTTGGAGAGGTGCCGCAGTATCGAAAACGCGCGCCATGCCATCTTGACTGCCTGAAAGGAGCCAACTCTTGAGATGTGGATTGACATCAAGGGTGTTAACCTGGCGCGAATCTTCCTGCATCTGCATGTATTCCAATGGCTCGGCTGCGCCAGACCCGACTCGTGCGACATCGTATGCGAAGATCTTGCCATTCGCGCAAGCCGTGAAGATTGTAGAACCACCGTGCCATTTAACATCGCGAATGCTGAGCTGATCCGCCGCCTGGTTGCCCTTCAAGCCAGCCGGTTGAGCAGTGATCGCAGCCCTTAAGTCCACGCCCTCGCGAAAGTTGAAGTTGAAGTTATGAGGATCATCGAGGACCACTGTCTTGAGAATATGTCCACCGGCCAGTACGGCGGCTCGTCGATCGGGGGAGACATCGAGGGCCAAAATCGGAACGCCGGCTCGATATACGGCATCTTGCGACTTGGACGGTCGAAACGAGGCTGAGATTGTAGACGCGGGCGCGCTTGTTATCGAAAGGTTGGCCGGGTCGCCTGCGGGGGTCTCGGTCGCAGCCTTGCCGAGGAGCTTGCGCATTATCCTGGAGTCGCGGTTATACATTGTTGCGGGGGTCTGCGATAGCCGATTGCGACGCCATCGAGGTCAACTCAACGGGCCATCAACGGCATTCTCTTTATTCACTGTCGGGCGTTGAATGGGCTATCGGTCTCCCTATTGAAGAGGGATGTCTTGACTTGGTGTTTGGCTATCGCCCATAGAGAACGTGAGCTCATGTGGATCCGAGGTCGGCGATCACGTGGTACCCTAGACCTCAGTGCCAACATTTGTATTGCTATATATTTTGCTATTTACTCATTTGAACCGAGGGACTAGATACCCTTATTTACTGGTCTCTTATAAAGATGAAAGAAAATATTTGTAAAGGCTAGCCTTGGGCACTGAGGAAATATTAGACTTTAATGCAGGTGGTTGAAATAGACTCACTAAAAGGTATCCAGGTATCCTCTTTTATTCAGCAGTGCGCTTAGGCAATTACGCGGTGTTGTGCAATGGCAGTCAAACAGGACACTTAGACTCAGTGATTGAGATGGCAATACTTAGCACAATTTTAGCGATGTCCCTACGAGACCACTCCGATGCAAATGTTTTTGTCCGCAAATGAAGTATCGAGATTTCAGCTCAGAACTATACCTAACAGCATAAAAACGACCATACCCATTGATGAACCCAAGGGGACGATCGCTTCCCCCTCTATGGTGTACAAGATATTGTCACTATTCTCCCGATCAAGACAACCCAAATTCGAAACCATGAAAAACCCTCATAAGAATAACAAGACAGTGATAAAGGCACCAGGCATGACCATACATGAAGCGCACCTACGACCTTCCGACTTAGTCCTAGGGCCTAACACCACGCTCTACCCTCCCGTCCTTCTTATGCAGGACCAAACGTGGGAACGGCACTAGTGGCGGTGGTAGTAGCATCAGCGGTCGTGGTGGCTCCCGGAATGGGGGCGGGAGGAGGCACTGCAGGTGGTGCACCACCTAGACCACCAAGGAGTGGGCCAAGAAGACCGGTGACGGCTTCAAGCTGTCGCTTGTTAAGGCCTTCGGACTTGAGTCCTCCAAGAAGGCCAGTCAAAGCGTCAAGCTGCCGCTTGTTAAGGTCTTCGGGCTTGAGCCCTCCAAGAAGGCCAGTCAAAGCGTCAAGCTGCCTCTTGTTCTTGTCTGCAGTCTTCAGTCCCAGAAGGCCTGTGAGGGTTTGAAGCTGTCGCTTGTCCAGCCCTCCAATCGGGCCGTTAGGGTCTGGGGATCCAAGGGGATCATCGAACGGGTAGTCAGTGGGAGTGACAGAAACGGTAGTGCTGGTAGCGGTTTCGATGACATAAGGATCGGTGGTAGAAGGCTCAGAGTCTTCACCGTTGCCGAAGTCAATGATTTGCACGACGGATGGGGGAAGCGCTTCACGTTTCTCGGGGCTAAGGAGTTCGTTCTGGTTGGCATTCAGAGGAGCTGCCAATGTGCTACCAAAGAGCATTGCAAGAGTAAGGAATGACTGCATTCTGAAGAATGTTGAAGAGTGTGTTGTAATGAGTGGTAAAAGACTGTGTTTGGAAAGGATGGAGAATACTTAGAACTTCTCGGCAAGTATCAGACATTTTATATTGGGAAGAGATGGGTAACATCAAGGGGGTGACGTTCTACATGCAGGTACACAAAAGCTATGCCAATAGAAAAGACGCGCGTTGTAAGTCTAGTGGAATGATTAACTATCAAGGATGATTCCAAACGCTGATCTCCCATCATTGTGAAAAGGAAATATTGAACACAAAGGGATGCTCCCAATTTGAATGACAGTAAAAGCATTGTGCTAGCCCGGACTACTCTGATTTACGGCCACAGCCGTGAGGGCAATCTTGTTGGCATAGATCGCCAGTGGTATGTAACTATTGGCAGATGTTGAAGAACAGATAGTGCAGATCAAGGGAGGGATGAGTCCATTTAGTAGTGAGTCCCGGGCTTGTTAAATTACAGTAAATCACACTCATCAGAGACTGTAAGCATTCCACGTCTTAAAAACATAGGGATGTAGCATATTGAAGGCTGAGAAAAGGAAACGCTTTCAGAGACAATGACATCAATTGATGGTCACTGACATTCAGAAACACGGCAGACAATCGGACCGATCTAAAGAGAGTGCCAAGCAAACGTTTAAAGGTGTCTCAGGTACCCCAGGCCAGTTTTTAAATATTGCAGACAAGTTATTGATCTAAGTCAGACACGGCAGACCCTCCCTCTCCCTCGGCACATGGAAGTCGCTTGCCCATTGTAGCAAGTGTATGGAGTAGCCAAGGCATAAAGTGAAGCTATACTATATCCGTGGATTCCAGGCAATCGGTCCCTGCATCCAACACAGTCTAGGAATTAAATGATGCTCTTCGGCAGCCTCCGTCAGGCTTTCGATATCGATGGAACAGCTGATTCCCTCAGCCAACCCGAAGCATCCGCCTGTGATACCATGTCATTGTAAAATCCAGAGACTTTTTAGATCGTATTTCAGTTGTTTTTGGACTCGTTTCTGAAATGTGCGTCATGATAAGGATGAACAATAACAGCCACTGTAATCTTTAAGCAATACAAATAGTCTTGTCTTTGTCAAATTCTGCCCGTGGCGCCGTAAACTCATCTCAAACTCCACTATACAGGTCAATCTGTTACTCAAAATTAATCAGCCCTTCCAAGTTCAACGGTATGTGTGGTGAACCATAGCTCACAGAGCCAATGTCCATGCCTCAAGCTTGGCTACCTGTTCAACCCCTTGGCCCCAAACACTCACACCCCATTGTTCAAATTCACGCCTATTCGAGCAGCCGTCACTAAACAATCTCTTGCATTAGTTATCTATCACTTTCGCAGGCATGTCGTCATACTCAACAGTTCCGCCATGTCACAGCGTGGCCCGACCATTGACAGATGCCTTCGTCGACCTTTACTTCATGAACTATATCACCGCCATGGCTGCTGACGCTGTCCCATATCTGCACCGACATCCAAAATATTCGACAGAGACATGTAGTTGCAACGGAGCACTTTCGATCAAAAATACTCTACCTAGCTTGTCGTCTTTTATTCGCACTCTGGTGATGGCATTCAAGCTACCCCGAGTCGTCATGGTTGCGTCTGCAGTATATCTTGGTCGTTGGCGACTCCAGCATCCCGGAGCGTTTGGATCTACTCCTAGCGCTTCGTATCGATTAGTACTTACCTCTATGATTATTGCTGTCAAGCATCTGTACGATAATCCTCCCCCCAATGCTCGATGGGTGAGGTTCTTGCATAAGAATGGCATTCACCACTTTAACCTGGAGCACATCAACTCGATGGAAATGGAGATGCTGCACGATCTTGGGTGGGATATTGGGATGTCTCCTGCAGATGTTCGCAGAGTTTCGGAGCCTGTCCTATTTGTACTTGGGAGCGAATTACTTAATTATGCTCAACAGTGTTAGTCGTAAGCTTTCTATAGATTGAAGGTACTAAGCCATTAAATATAAATGAACTCAGTATATGAAGCTTTTCTTTACGATATGACAAATTGCCTCTCACACCTTTCTTCACCTTCCATTGTCTTCAGTGAAACCCGTCCAAAGGACAGGCCAAGCAAGTCGCAAGCTCTTACAGTATCCAAGCATGTTGATAAAAGCATAAGCTTTATATCTTTGAAGTTTGAGAAACGAATAAAGCGTCATGATGGACGTGAATATAACTCCTCCTCTATGCTTTTGGAGGATGAGTATTCAATGTTACTCAACTGACAAGACAAGTAAAGTAAAGTGGTAATCACACGTACAATTGATCTTTGAATGCCGCATAATGATATAATTGAGTTCTAATTCTAAACTATGACCCTTGCCGATGACTGAATTATACCTGACAGCTCTTGCAAGTCTGTCGTGAGATGCATACCATCAACGGCACGTTTTCTCACCCCCCAAATAATCCACAAAACGATGACAAACAACACACTAACTCAGGTGGTAAAAAGTGACGGCCACCCGAGGACACGAAGGTAAAGACTGTGGAGTCGCCAAATTGGCGTGATCGCAACCCGATGTAAAGTCCATGGTAGAGATGTGGCGCCCCGCGTATTTGTCTGAAGCACTTAAAGCAGGCTGCTCAGAGCGATGCAGGGAAGGGCGACGTTGACAAGACCACCGGTGGCCTAGATCCGCGATGTTAGTAAGAGAGTTTTTGAGAAGGGTTGGGGGATACGTACGGAACCGCCGCTGTTTTGACAGCAGGCGGCGTTTGCCTGGCATTCCTTGTTAAGGAGGCCATTAGCAATAGCCAGAACGTTAACATCAAGCTTGGAGCACTGATCAAACAGGCTCAGGTTGTTGAGGATACCAGCACCGTTGCCAACAGCGTTGCCGGCAGGGGTGTTGGTAACCTTGTTGCAGCAGGTGACCTGCATGTTATTTCCACAAGCATTGTTGGCTTGAGCGACCGTGATCTGGTCAATGGAAGGGTAAGCCCTGATGGTTGGGCCAGCGGCAACGGTGGCGGCGAGGAAAGCGACGATGGTCATGTACTGCATCTTGAAGGTATTTGAGTTGTCAAAGACAGAAGATAATATAGAATGATTATGTGGATTTGAGGGGTAGAGAATGGTGAAGATCAAAGCTGAAAGAATGCTGAGAGATGCTGAGAGATACTGAGAGATGCTGATGATTGATGAAGAGAAGAGGTTCTGGTTTGGAGCGTTGCATCGACCCTTTTATATCTAGTTGACGGTGGATTTTAGATCGATTAAGGGAGACTGGTATGAAGGAAGCACTTGGATCTCTCCTTACTCGATGCTTCGATGCCCATCGTGGCTGGCCATCCTCTTCGGAATCGGCATGGTACTGCCAAGGAAATCTCAATCTCATTGAGACACCAGCGGAGCTCATGGCTAGCTGCACGGTAGGACTGTAAGCTACGAATGCACACGACGAGAACACGATAATCGTTGAGACATATTTTCACGAGTTGCAAGCCATTCGCATAGAGAGATTTGCTTGTTTTGGTATGATTACCTAACTCTGCCGCGTAATCGTATGAAATGGGTTTACTGAGTGAACAGTCTTTGCTTTTGAGCAACTCACGTATAGTCTATAGGGCAGGATTGTCACAGCAAGCCCCATATTGTCACTCACTTCACATGATTGGCTCCTCTATCCCACTACAACGACTCTACCATGTACCAGTCACAGGACCCCAATGCAAGGAGTGATCCAACACAAGGAATCTACTTTGCCATCCTCCCTACCCAAAAATTCGGCCCTACTTCTGCTTCAGACACGGCACATGAGTGAAACACGGCTCAATCTACTAGTGAGACTTTTTATTCAGGAACAGAGGAACGGAACCGTGTCTTGGGAAGCCCAATGTGTCCCCCCGCATAGTGAGTGCCGAAGATCTTTCCACTTCAGCCTTAGCCGCTTTTTGAGTTTAAATCATTTTTTGGTGCCTTTTTACATCAACGCCTGGAGGCTTTATCTCCGGCCTCAGTCTCCCTGTCGCTATGACTTCAAAATGAGTCTCAGTCGTCGTGTTCATTACCCTCACATTGAAAATCTTCTACTAGCGCCCCCTTGGCTGTTTTCAGTGCGTTGTAAACAACAGACGTCAACTTGCTAACATTGGGAGTAAGGAATGGGTATTCCGTGGACATCCCTTGCAGTCTCCTTTTCCTCTCAGTGATCACAGTTGAGTGACAAGATTGAGTTGGCAAACAGCGACACCAAGCTCCGCTCCTCGAACTCGGCCGTTTTCCATATTGCTCCATCAACAACTGGCATGCCTTTTCGGGCCGTGAAATTGGCGATGTTGGACCAGGAAAACTTATGGAAATACTACTACTCATAATGTAAACATTGGGACTATTAATAAAAGAGAAGTCAGATCTTACTCTATGAGAATTGTTAAATCGTTTTTACGCTACCTCAAACCAGCCCAGACATAGCTACGGATCGAGATGAGCTTCAAAAATGCACCAAGACTTTGTTGATGTCAAGACGATCCTTCGCCGTTTGATAGTCTCTCTTGCTGGTCTACCTTGGTGCATTGTTACCCACCAACATGGCAGAAGTACATCGCAGGCTTTCAGCAATCAACGCAGGTCATCCTAACAAGAAACTTCAGTTTCCTGAGAAAAGCATTGTAAGATATCTACAAGGTTCAGAAGCTCACTGACATCAAACGTTATGGCGCTTTTGGCCACAGATCGACATATATAAAAGTATTGTGTTGACGAGTCTGCACTTCAAACCTACCTGGCGTCAGGTCTCTTTCAGAGGCCTCTATTGCAAATATTGTCCATAAGCAAAAATAAACATCGTATTTCAAACGAATATCTATCTGAGAACCTCATGACGAGTTGTGATTTTTATGTTTGCGTCAAGTTGTGCCATATTCTCCTGTGCCTCCTATTTCGATTAATCATAATCATACATATGTCACATCAGATTCTTTTATCCAGCTTAAACTCGTGATATATTTGGGCGATATATGGAGTTGCCGTTTGTGATATATGAGGTCCAGGGTAAATTTCATCAACTTGATATCAATATTTAAAGAGTTTCAGCTAATTGGGTTCGATATTTGGCAAGAGACTCATAATATGTATTTCTAGCTTCTAGTACAGTGAATAATTTTTCTGAATTCAATCTGATCCTTATCCAAGGAAACGAATCATGGATGGAAATCATTTTCTTCTGCTTGCCTTTTGGTTTGAGAGGCGTTAGTTGATTATGCAACATCGTGATATTTCCCCGAATGGGTCCAAGGGTAAGCCTGGACTGTAGTGATTGGTCAGGCATTTGGTATAATGTCTAACATGTGAGATAGAAGCGTTATCTTCAGCATAGAACTGTGGCTGGGAGCTTGTATCACGACGGAGAATTTAGTAGTAGGGCCTAGACTTCAGTTGTGGGGTGATGGTTTCGCACCGCAAGCCATGACGACGAAGTTCGAGGTGACTACGACACGCTAGTTCCCTAAACTCCGAGTTTCATCTTTCAATTGTCGAACCTGATTATTGAAAATAGCAAGTTTTCATGCTTCAAGATGTTCAACGCGTCCTCGTAAGGTACTGCCAATGATAGAGAAGACCAAAGCACCCTCGATGAATCACTCAAAACTTCGATTCTCACAATACACAGAGCGCAACAGCTGATGGCAGCGGATTCGTCCAGCCACTTGAGAAAATTCATTCCCAGGTCAAAAGCAGGTTTCTATGCTGGACAAATAGGATGAATGACGTCCCTATAGGTAAGACACGGGACAGCGATCACTGTAAATCTACGACACCACGAAGCTTCAAAAATGTCTCAATGTCTCGCGTATTACAGGATCAAGGATCCGAGACGAAAGCATATAGATCGATGTCGTTACCTGAGTTGAAAATCTAATAGTGAGCCAATCGCAGCTAAGGTGTGACCTAGAAAGCCGCCATCCCTACAGTCAGTCTTGCATTCCAGTTGCTCTCCTTGCATCGGTGATAGGCCCATAGGGCATACAGTCAGCCGCATCTCAGAGTAACCTAGCCGAAGACGGAAGTGATTGAAGCTGAAACCGGTCGATGGAAGCCGTAGCTAGTACAACCAAGGCAATATGGACTTCATGTACAAGAAGGCAGCTCTAGATCTTCCACATTTTGACTGGTTTTATAAGACAGAACTCCCTCCAGCATGTTGAAGTCTTCTTCCAGTGGCCTCACATTCTGGCCATGCAATACAGTCGTTTCTCCAACCTACAAGACATTCTTTGAAACAAAACCTGTACCTATCCCTTTCTTCCCCTCATTAGGCTCAGGAAGTCCTTGATACCCACTCTCATCCTTTTTCATCAAGACCCAGCCAAACGCCATTCTACAGACCACCCTTTGAGAACCATTTTGTCAATTAAGAACTCCATATGGCAATGTCATTTCAATCACATAAGCCACTACATAGCTGGCCCACGACGAAATTACAAGCCAAAACATACCAGAGCCAAGAAAATCAAAGGCATTGTTACCCTCATTATCCCACTATTCACGAAGTCTCGCTTCAAGACTCGCATCCAAGACCAGTATCTATCTCGTCGGCTTATTCTGTACCTGAGACCTTCCCAAGGAGCAATCTAAAGATAGAATCTGCTTCTCAGCTACGCTCTTTTTCTGCTTCTTCAGGTCGCATTCTTCGACCTCCTCCTAAACTCCACCAACGGCCATTCCTGTCTTCGGAGCAAATTCAACAAGCAAAGCCTGCTGTCATGCAGACACATCAGTCTGATAATGATAGCATTCGAAGTCTTGAGCCTCCTCCTGTTCCCCCAAAAGATCCTCTTCGGACATCTTCTACACATGGGCACAGCTCAGATATCTCATATGAAAGCGACACAGTATCTCCTAGGCCTCACACCTTTGGATATCCGGAACCTCCTTCAGCACATGCATCATACTGGTCTGAGCCTAGCGGCAGCGAGAGTGGGACCGTCACCGAAGATGAAGAAGAGTTGACAGATGTTGAAGAAACAGCCTTAGAATCGTCTGAGGTTGAGGATAGCTTACTACGTTTCTCCATCATCGAGGCGCATCGTGTCTCATTCCATACATGGATTCTGAACCCCACTACAGCTGGAGCTCCTTCTGACCCACCGCTCAAGCTGAGCTTGAGAAACCAAATTGAAAATGGATACATGGCCTGGCCTGCTTGCTCGAAGAAGGCCAAGCGTTGGGGGATAATATTCCAGTAAATACCATTTTGTAAGTAGCCAGTAATTTGAAGACTGCATCACGTCAGTCAGAACGAAGTCTATCGTTATTATTATCAGAGCTTCAGAGTATATTGTTTTGTACGTGATAAGCCAACTTGGTCTCGTTGCCTAGATAAGATAAAACTCTTAAGGCCAAATTAGTGAGCCCTCTCCAGGTCAAAATCCTATAATATCTAGTTGGACAATGGGTCGTTAGATGTGACAATGTACTTGCAAAGGTCTCGTTACGTGGATGGTAGCTAGAACTGAATTGTTGATTAAACTTAACTAATTGACAATCTCTTAATACAACAATGAATATCATATACAAAGGACTCTGTACCCCTTGTCCTTCAAATCTTAGCGATGCCGATTTGAGTGCACTTGGCTTCAGAGTGGCCGATCACGTCGAGAGCTTCGCTTAGCATCCTGCCTCGTTTGATAAGAAGTACAATCTCGGCACAAGACCTGTCCCCTATGCGATCGCTGTCGCGATGCGCGAGCAATAAATCTACTACACTTACAACATCGTGTTGAAAGAACCACGGGCTGTTGACCGTCAGACATGTCCCCAGTTATGTCAGGTGACGACTCACCAGATCTGGCCTTGAACCTCCTGCCGACGCATTCATCGGTGTCGTCATGGGAATGGGCAGTTGAAGCCCCAGAGATGTTTGTGGTGGACCGACTTGCTGCAATAATTGCTTGGTCCTTTCCAGATATCTAAACATATCACTGACCTCCTGCTCTCGAGGGAGCCTGACAGGATTCACAGGTATTGTGTTCTGTTGCAAGGCAGTGCTCTGGTTGGCCTGAGCAAAATTGTAGATAGTATGAGAAAGTGACATGATCTATACATGGTTAATACTGTTGTAGACAGTCGTGGTACCATGCCTGCCTTACTTGACCCAACGCCTCTTTATACGTCTGGTTATCGGGGTAACGGTCCAAAACGTGCTGGTGTCGGGCTTGTGCAGGATGATTAAAATCAAGGCTGCCTGCGCGAGGAAGTGAAATCTCGGTGGATGAATCACGAAATCGATGAGGTAAGTTCGACAGGGGACGAGTTGGCTGGGGTGGATGATCCTCCTCTTCCTTGATGAATGATGGACCAGGTGATGGAGACGCTGGTGGAGTACCTAAGCTATGACTTGCGCGGTACTGATCAGCTTGAATAATCTCTGCTATAGATGGTAGCTTCTGATAGTTTGACGGACCAGAGTCGTCTGAATGTCGAGATGGCTTCTTCATGATGAAGAGTCTTTCAAACCTGTTGTAGGGATAAGAAGCCGTCCGTTCAGACGAAAAGGGGGGCGGAAATGGGCCATGTCGATTGTTGGCAGATATACGGGTACAGTTAAGCCCCCAATTAATTGACCGCCTCCAACACTGTTGTTGGTGGCGCTCGGGTGAGTCGACTTACATTCCGCGGCGGAGACAGTCCTTGATATATTGGTATCTTGTGCCGAACAGAAAAAGCAAAGCAAGACATGAATCCGAAATCTGCTGCTCGCCCGTTGTCTCAAAAGCGTCACCGGGCTTAAATCAAGAATACTTCTATTCCGCTTCTAGTTAACCAGGAACTGAGGCCCGCCAGCACTAACAGGTCTCTCTCTCTCTCTCCGAAGGACCCACTGACGCAGTGTACCAGAGTTGCCGGTCGTCTACTCCGTAACTGGACTAATCACAGATGAGGAGACTGGCTCCTGGGACAATGTTAATTCTCCGTAGCCGACCGCATGTGATAACAATATTGCAAAGGTTTATTTTAATGAAACCAAAATACGTAAATGAACATGATAAAAAAGTTGGATAGATAGCTATTATTGTCACACAGAGACGAGGTTACATATACTCAAAAAGAGTGCCACAGAAGAAGGTTTATAATGCATTCTAAACCAAGTACCGTGTGTCAAGTTGACGATCAGGCGTCCCATATCTTCACCCTTATAAGTAGGAAAACCAGTCTATGAAGCCTTGCAATTTACCCAAAACCAGTATCTCTTTCAACGCTATAATAAACGCCATGCCATATAACCCTGTACCTTCCAAGTTCCGACGGAAATAATACACATACTAAACGACCTCGCTCTCACCATAGACACTCCCAATCATCATTCCCAGTATGTATTGACGGCATATCCGTTGTAGGGAAGCGATTGACTGCGACCCTGAATCACTGGGTTGACTTGAAGAGGAAGCGGCTGATTTGTACTGGGCCCGGGGCCCGAATTAAAATCAAAAACATCCCCTCCGCCACCGATGAACATATCACCCATATTTGCGGAATCAGAAAACCCGGGCATGAATCGCATCGGCAGTGCATGTGAGTTGGAATCCCATGGAATGCCAAAGTCAGGGTGAAATAGAGGATTTGCCGAATCAGAAACCGACGAAGTCGATGGGCTAGACATTTCCGCCAGCGTTGAGAATTGCGACATTGCAGGGGCTTCTGAGAGCTGTGCCCCCTGGGTTGAGTCGAACCCAGCTGCGTTTGAATTCAAGTCTTGACCCAAGACTCGACCACTCGTACCTGGAAGACTCTGGCTTCTCATGATGAGATTTGCTGGATTTGCCACTGTAGATACTAGAAAGACGTGTTAGTCAATATTAGCTCCAATGGTTGTGTCGTTGGAGGTGAACCAACCTCTCATGTCAGGTGCAAAGCTGTCTGTCCATGGTATCCCAGTGCTAACGGGTACTACTGGAGGTGTAGGCCTTATTTCGGATGGATTCAAAGATGACTTTATGCCATCTATATATCGATCCACGGTTTCAGAATTCCGTGCTGGATTGTATGGGAGCAAGCCTGGATCCGGGCCAGGAGAAAACCTTGCTATTCGAACGAGACTAGACCCTTCAGTAGATGACTGGCCCGTCAGGTAAGAACTGCATTCTTTCTTCAAGCGAACGCAGCTGACGCAGCGAGCTTGGGCGTCAGAAGAAGAGGCGATGCATCTGATTTTTCGATGCCTGCACTGTTCTGAGAAACTAGTTAGAGGCATGAATCTTAACGCCCCAAGCTGGACGTAGGAAAGGCTGCTTACTGCACGCCGATGAAGCTCGCTTGTAACCGAGCTTGAGCCTGGCGTTTGACTTTGACTCCTCGACTTCTTGTAAATCTTCAGCGGAATTCATACCATACTGAGCCATGCCTGGGACTTGGCAAGTATTGAATGGACTGAATTGGTAGTAGTCATTTGAAGGCTCAATATCTGGCGCATCTAATATATCTGACGTATCAAGCTGATACGAATTGAAGGCAGTGAAAGACATGATGGAGCGGGCGCTAGATGCTTCGAGAGGCACGGAAGCCAAGGATGTTGACAGGAGGGTGACAGCGTGATGGCCGATCAAAGAATAACCTTTTAAGTGCGTAGGGCAAGGGGAGGTCGCGGGATGCTAGCCGCTAAGTTATCAGTGCTGATCAGGGCTGGGAATGACACATCTGGCTGACAGCTGATGCTAGCTGTGCCCTGGTCCCGAATGGCACACGCTGCAATGGCAACGAGATTAAGTATGACCATATGTCTTCACCAGGTGAAATACCGAGCAATACATCGAGATCCAAGGCGTAGACACTACCGGTTTAAAAGGAATGAAGCTGGAAAATAGCCAACAAGTGACCTCGACTGAAATTCCGCGTCTGTCAAGGGTTTGAGACTGAGACTGAATCGGAAGTGATCTACTGTACGGAGCAGAGGCCGCGGGAGTGGGGTGTAGATCGGGGGGGACAGTGCACCCCCTGTTCGGTTTATCATGTGTGGCGCACGTGAAGTTGATTGCTGGGGGTATGTCAAGGGGTAAGGGATCTGACATATGGCGCAGATCGATCTGGGGCACCGGGAAAATGGCGAGTAATGTGACTGGGTGGCATTCTGATTACTCCTCAGACATGAATGCGATAAGAAATGTCCCGAAAATTCTATCACTTGTCAATTCCATTTATCCAAGAGAGCAGAGCAGTCAACATCAAGTACCGACATGCGTTTAAGCTCGTAGCTAGAGTGGCTAACGACCGGTAACTGTCGCCCCAAATGCCACTAGGGAAGGGCCGCGAGAGATCGAGCCATCGGCGCTCCATCGGTCGCTACTTGTTTTCTCCAAACGAAGAAGTTTTCTCCATGAAATCTGGCTTCCTCGGCGCTCTAACCTAACGAGTCATCGGCCGCTGACAGGCATCCCTTCCTGGGTACGGTAGACGAGGCTCGTGCTAGAATGTGGCGCACCCCAATCTCGGTGCTAATTCAGGCTGCAATAGCGCCGATCTTTGGTACAGATGAACCAAAGAGGTGGGTGGCGGGTGTCAAACGACGTCCTTAGTCTTGTTTCTTAGAGGCTTGTTCAACTTCAGCTCAAGGCACTTGGACCGGATCTGGGCTACCGTGCAGAAAGGGTGGGTGAGTGATCGAGGGGTTATGCTCATCCTCATAATGCGCTAGTGTTTAGTAATGGGGTAGTCAGCAGAGACAGGGGCACGTCGAGTTTAGCAGCATCTCGGGGCATTCAGCCGGCCACTAGCTTGGTCTACTAAACAGGCTTGGAAATTGATATGGGAGGCCAAGCCTACGTACGCCGTACCTCCCTCACATATGCACAAGTCCCATTTCGCTTACAATGAGGCTTGGACATCTACCGGGGACAGGGGAGCGCTCTCCATTGGCAGACCAAGTTTCAGCAAGTCTCGGAGCAAGGTACTTCGGATGGATGGAGTAAACACAGAAAACGCCAAGATGAGATGCCAAGATGCATTTTGGTACTAGAACGTAAGATTTTAAGGTACAATAACAATGATGATTATAATTGATACAAGAATGACGAAACTGCTGTCTGGGCCACAAACATGGAAGTTCCGTGCTGTTTTCCCTTAGAAATCCATGTCTAGTCCAGAACCTGTAGAACCCCGTACATGCAATAGGTAATCCATTTGAATTTTCAAACATCATCTTACAAGAATGAACCCCACACGCTCATGGCCGAACTCGCCAAGTTTGTTCTTTCACCGCCTAGACCTAAGCGTCACTCTTCGCTTCCGGGTGAGGTCCTCCTCCTCGATGATGGCTACTGCAGCAGGGACAAATTTGATGCTGCGGTAGCGTTTGTTATTTCGCGTATGCAGCCTGCGATGAGTCTGCAGATTGTCCCACCGATTGAAATTATCCTTCCCGCAAAACTCGCAGGAGAAGTTGTTCTCTCCTTCACCATGCTTCCTATGTTTTGTCAGATATAAGTCTTAATAAATTCAGTTTTGGTAAAATACGTACGCTTGCTTATGTCGCTTGAGGTGCTCAATGCGGCGAAATGCTTTATTGCATCCTGGGTAGTCACACTCGCCCGTTGCCTTTTTGATGATTTTTGTTCCGGCAGGCAAGGTGGCTCTGAATGGCTGGTCTCTTGGTTTCGGAGCCCGCCGCTGAAGAGACACGGAGTTTTCTTTTGAGAGATTGCGCATCGCGGGTGGAGATCTCATCTGGCAGATCGACCTGGACGTGTGCAGGGGCGAGGCGTAAGGGTCCGGGCCAAGACAGTTTGAGACATCTGAATGCCGCGTCTCGGAGTGATCCGAAGACGGGCTGTCGATGGAACAAGACCATGAGGACATCGATGAGATGCTCCCAAGACGAGAGAGAGCTTGGGGAGATGGCATCGTACTGACATCAGAGTAACTGTCGCATGTTCCAGGTGCGTTGGGAATGGCGAATGGACTGATCGGACTGACTGGAGCGATGTCGACTGCGTTTGTATGTTGCATATGTTGATAGTCCATACTGATATTTTGTTGATGAACATGTTGATACGATAGGTCTCTAGCTTCAGGTCTCATCGTGTCTGACATGAAAGAGGGAGATGAAAATGTCGTGTTGATCCAGAGGTAAGCGTTGTTGTAGAGATGGTTGAAATCCAAAGGCCCAGACTCCATCCACTCTGATCGGGGAGACGATGTAGGGGTGAGAGGAGCATCAGGTGATGAGGCAAAGGTAAAGCCTGTGTCAAGTGGAACAAAGCACTGGCCCTCCATGTTGAAGGTACTTTCCATAATGAGTTCAGGGCGTAGCTAGCGAATAGAAATATTCAAATGTTGAAGAAGTTTGATATAGACGATCAGATTGTGTGAACAATGAAATATTGAACCGGACATCACAGGGGATGGGGCTCTTATTAAGAACAAAGAATATAGCAGATCTTGCCTACAATGTTTTCTCATCATGCAATGCCAATTCATAGCCTCATGACAGAGAAAATGCGTCCCA